CCTAATAGTCTCTCCTAGTGGCTTGTTAGGCTTCGGCCGTCTTCGAATAGGGGACCTTCTGACTTTATTTGGAGGTCGGGCAAGATTTGGGGTCTACATACCTCAAACAATCAAGAATAAATCATTCCAAAGCATAAAGGATAATAATAACAACATCAAAGCATAGATTAATATCTCAAAATATCACCATGATACAAAAGAGTTCAAAGGAAGTGCACCGAATCCTAAGAGAATGAAGTTAGCCACTCATGTTGGCCATTACAATGCTTCAATTAATGAAGAAGTGAAGAATTGATGAAGATTAGACAAAACCCTAACAATAGTCGTGTCTCCTCTCCTCCAAGACTGCTTCCTTTTCTCAAAACACAACTTATCTTTTTATAAGAGAATTTGGGTCAGACCTCGCATTATTCATTCTCTTAAGCGCTCTTCTTTCTTTCAATTTTACTCCAATTATGCTGACAATTATGCTCCTTACTCTTGTATCAAGGTATTCTTGAATTCATCCTATATTGGGAGAAAAATATATTAGAATTAACATAAGTTAAGTGGTTTCATAACAATTCAAGGTATAATTATATCAACTTTTTACCACTTAACAACTCCCACCAACCTAGAATCTTGCTTGTTCCAAGCAAAGTAGTTTTTCCAAAACAAAATCATCACCTATTATCTCTTTCTCTTCTAGAACCACAACATAAAAAATTTCAGGGGTGATGCTCACAATTCCAAATGAAAATAGAACACATAAGCATTCAAGTTATAGAAACCAACAAAGAATAATTAGTCCTCAACTATCCTCAGAGAAGCATGATCTCTCAAATAGAGTTATATATACTCATCTGTATTTCTCACAGGTAAGTGTTTATCTCATTTAATCACTTCATTTAGACAATCCAATATTGCTAATCATCTTCAAGCAATCAAAAATTGTTAAACAAGACTTAAATCAAAAGGTCTTTTGAGGCTTGTAATGGGGCTGGGCTAAGAAAGAATTATTGGTTTTTCTGGGATATACAAAAATATTTGAGAAATTCAACTCATATGAATGATTCTTGATTAACAATACCTCGGTCAGGTTTCAAACTTCATGCTTTTGTCCCTAACACAATGATAATGAGTTAATAATCTCACAAGTCATTACCCCCCTTTTGACTTCTTCTTCTTTTTTTTTCTTTTTTTTGCTTTTGCATGTATCCTTTTTTTTTTTGCTTTGCAAATTTTTAAGCTTTGCTTTTCCTTTTTCTTTACACTTTTTTTAACAATAACACCTGTCGCCGCCTCCCCGAAAACGGGGGCACGGTCGGAGCGACGCGATGGTTTTTCGACTCTTCTTCTTCGATTTTCGCGTTTTTTATTGGTGGTTACAACGCCTTTAGGTTGTCCGATAACTGGGCTAACCTAGGGGCGAGGTTTTCAAAAGTATCCCTGAGTTGTCCGATAACCGGGCTAACCCAGGGATTTATTTAGTTGGGTTCTATGGAGTCGCCACCGATATTTTTACCGTCAACATCGGAAAAGGGGTTTAAAAAGGCGTTGGTTTTCGAAAACCAACTTTCGTCATTAGAACCAGAGTTGGGTAAGGGAGTTAGTTACGTGTAAAGGAAGTGTTAGTTCCTTTACGACGCCCCTTTCGGGTTCCCTATGATAGGCTGGCTAATTTGAATAAATAATTAAACTGGAAAATAGCGTTTTTACCCTTTTATTATGCGGTATTTAAAGGTTATGACTACATGGCCCTAGCTTCTATTGCATAATTTTAAATTAAAGCTGTAAATTAGAAAGAGAGAAAGTGCACCTCCAAAGCAAGCTTTTTGTATTTCTCTTTAAAGAATGGGTGCTTTTTGGCAACCCTTCACTCTACAAACTCTCAGAAACTCCAGAAATGCCTCGGAGGGATTCTAAAGAAGATTTAGCACGCTCAATTTATGCCTAGAGACACTCAGAAACTCCAGAAATGCTTCAGAGGGATTCTAGAGAGAGAAAATCTAGAGAGAAGGGAGAGTTATTGTGCCTGGTGTGGAAATGAGGGGGGGAGAGCCCCTATTTATAGGTTTTCACGCTGTCAGGTGGCGAGACCGCCGTTCTCGTCTGACAGGGTCGAGACCGCCGTCTCGACCTGTCAAAATGGCGAGAACGCCGTCTGGGTGAACGAGACCGCCGTCTCGTTCTTCGCAGGTGGCGAGACGGCGGTCTCGCTTAACGAGACGGCGGTCTCGCCTCCTGCATGAAGCGAGACGGCGGTCTGGGTTGTCCAGAAGGCGGTCTCGTTCCTTCGAGGCGAGAAAACTTATTTTTTGGTACAGAAACTCCCTCCTATCCTGGTATGGGGCCTAATAGTCTCTCCTAATGGCTTGTTAGGCTTGTCCATCTCCAAAATAGGAGGTATTCTGGTCTTTATTTGGAGGTCGGGCAAGATTTGGGGTCTACAACACCCCAACAATACCTATAGGACAACAATAGCAATACCCAACAATAAGAAAAATAGTGACATTCATACTCATTTCCTTTCTCAAATATAGGAAGGTAGATAAATAGTGTTTATGCTTAAGGGTTCTGTTTAAGAAACAATATTATTTTTGGCTCAGAAGGGGTTCAAATGGATTTCCTAAAATTAATGCAGGGTTGGCTATTTGGCTCTGGTTCAAAGAATCAACCAATATTAGTTATCATCACAAAGTATTGACACTCAATTTACTTGTTTGTGGTACTCTACTCACTTGGGTTTTGGCTAGCTTCTCCAATTCAGTTAATTCCTAATTCTCCTCATCAATTCCTTTTCACTATCATACTCAATATCCCAAAATCACTTGTTATTGGAAACAATCAAAATTATTTTTCACGTTCTAGATTTGAATTAGACAATAAGCAATAATCTCATATATGACTCTAAAACAAATTATGGGACAACAAGGGAATTCAAAATTTAAAATAAAGCAATTAAAAATATTAAATTAAAAACAAAGGAATTAAAAACATTAAAAGCAAAGTAAGTTTCCTCCCTCATTTTCTTCACTTGTCATGTACTCCTTATCTTGTGCCTCAGCCTCAGCTGCAGACTTTCTCACCCCCTCCAGAAAAGTTGGATTGTCCTCAAGCCATTGAAGTAAGGCTTCAAAGTCTTGAGAAGAAGTGTACTATGTACTTGGAGCAATCTTGCAAAGAAAGAACCTAAGGAAAAAAAATGCACAAAAAACTTAAACTGCAAAAAGAAAAAAAAAATTCAAAACATTGGGTTGCCTCCCAGGAGCGCTTGTTTAACGTCTTTAGCTCGACGCCTATTTGCTTTAGGGCTCATGCAGGTGAGTGATCAAGGTGATATATACGCATTCTCCATCCCTTATTCAGAGATTGGATAAATCATACCTACTTCAGGAGGTTTCAGTACCTTTCTTTGAACAACTTCCTTCATAGTCAGACTAAGATGTCTTTGGGGTTGTACAACAGGCTTGTAATCTTGTTTTTCAGTTGAGATGGTTAATTCCTCCAAAGTGTCTATTCTGAGACAATCTTTCTTGTCTTCAGGTTGTTGTACAACTTCAAATAGATTAAAATTAACTTCATCATCTCCACTTCTAATTTTCAACTTGCCCATGTCAACATCTATAATTACTTTGGCAGTCTTCATAAATGGCCTTCCCAGGATCAATGGGACTTCCTCATTTTCCTCCATGTCCATAATCACAAAATCAACAGGAAATATGAAGTTATCCACTCTAACTAAAACATCTTTTGCTACTCCATAAGGAATCTTTACAGATCTGTCAGCTAGTTGTAATGTCATTCTTGTAGACTTTACTTCCAAGTCTCCTATTCTTTTAAGCATAGACAAAGGAATTAGATTTATACTAGCACCTAAATCAAGTAATGACTTACCTACTTGTAACGTCCCAATTGTGACTGGTATACTAAAACTACCAGGATCCTTGGACTTTTGAGGTAATGATTTCTGAATTATAGCGTTGCATCCTGCTTCTAGCTCCATTGTTTCTGCGGTAAATCTCCTTTTTTAGTTAACAACTCTTTCATGAATTTTGCATAAGTCGGCATCTACTCCATAGCTTCCATAAATGGAATATTAATCTATAAATGCTTGAAAATATTCATGAATCTTGCAAACTGTCTTTCTTTATCTTTCTTGAAAATGAGAAAGTCAAAGAAAGTTAGGGAAATAAAGTTTTAGATATATGATGATTTTGAAATGAAGTTTGAATGATTAAGTTTTCTATTTATAACATTTTTAACTTAATCAATGAAACTTCAAACATTACTCTAAATCACTTATACTTTTGATCTTACAATATGTCTTATATAAATAAATTTTATAATTTATCAATTTTTTACTTATTAGAACATCTCCAATGCAGAGTGCTTCAAAAAGAATTTCAGTTGCTTCAAGCAACTATTACATTGGAGTAAATTACGTGGCATATAGGATTACTCCATCTTAGCAGAAAAATGCTTGAAGAAGCAACCGTTACTTCAAATAAAATATGATTATTTTCATTTTCTTCAGCACACAACAAATCAAATCTAAACTGGAAAATATCAAACGTAGGAACGGGAATCATGAATCATCAGAATCAATTTCAACAGCGTACAATTTCATAATCAATATGGAATCATGAATAATTCATCATCATAATCAATTTCAAAATCAACAGCGTGAACAATTTTAGAATCACAGTGAATAATTTCAAAATCAAATTCAAAATTAAACTTACCTTCAGAATCAGAACCACAGCATGAACAATTTCATAATCAATTTCAAAATTATACTCACCAATTTCACAAAATGCAAGCACAACATGAACAATTTCAGCCAAATGAAGGCGCACCCAAACACGAAAAATGGGTACTGGTTGAAGAAGTTTTCAATGGAAACCAGAATATATTCAATATTGATTTTGCCACCATTGGCATCCACGTTCATCGCCACGTCAGCAAGGCAGGAAACGGAGTGAAGAGGTTGAAGGCGGTGAATGAGAAGAAGCATTTTACTAATGCATTGGGAGGACGCGTTCGGATTGCGGAGAGTGAGAGTGAATAGAGTTGAGAAGGTTGAATTGTGGAGTGTGGTGGGTTGTGGTTTGAGAAGTGAGAGAAGGGTTTGGAGATGGTGGGTCTATGAAGGTTTCAAGGAGAGTGGATAAGGAGAGAGAAGAAGAGAGATAGAATCCATGGGAGGGAGATTTTGTATCTACATAAACCAGGCGCTCACTAATGAGTACAACATCTTCAGAATTGTAACCTTCATATGGCATATAAGCTACTAATACGTTTTTATCCAAAGCGAGTTCGCCGCCAACTGTAGCAGCACCATCCGCTAAAATATGTCCCTTTTTGATGCATTTACCTCGGTGAACCTGGGGTTTTTGATGCATGCAAGTATTTTTGTTGGAACGTTGATATATAGTTAATGGAATACTTAAAGTATCTCCATTACCAAATAAAAAGATCCTGTCAGTATCAGTATAAATGATGTTTCCCTCGTGTTCGGCTATAGCGGAAACCCCTGAATCTAAAGCTACTTGGCATTCCAATCCAGTTCCAACAATGCATTTTTCGAACTGAAAAGCAGAACTGCTTGAGTGTCAATTGGACGCAAGAGTGAGATTCATAAAAAAAAATTGACTGTTGGGAGGAATTGGGATGAGATTGAAAAAAGAATTGACTGTTGAGAGAAATTAACCGTTGGGAGAAATTGACCCTTTTATTATTTTTTTTACTATTTTTACACTATAAAATCTCTATCAATGGTAAACAAATTTCACATTTCCTTTATTTCCTCATTTTTCTTCTTCTCCAATTATGGATCCCAATCAATTTAATTATCAGTATTATTATAATTTATTGCAAAATCATTCATTGGTTACCGATGAAAATTCTCAAAATTTGCAAAATTATATTTATCCACCACCATTTTTTATGTTTCCACCACCTCCAATGACATCAAATATGAGTAACATTCCTCCTTCATCCAACATAGAATCTCCTTCCTCAATCGGACTTGATAATATCCAACTTGATGGAAGCAGTGAAAATATGTCTCAAAGGAAACCTTGTGTACCATTCTCAATACCAGAAGATTTGATTCTTATTCGATCATGGTTGAACGTGTCGAAAGATCCAGTTGTTGGAGTTGATTAGTCATTAACCCAATATTGGGACCGGATCAAAGAAGCATACAACAATGACGACGAACATAGCATTTTCACAAACAGGTCAGTAAGTCAATTAAAATCTCGATGGAGTAAACTTCACCCTACAGTTCAAAAATTTAATGCATGTTATAAGCAAGCTACCAATCAAAGGAAAAGTGGTTGGGCTAAGAAAGATGTTATGTCATTCGCACATAAGATTTTCACAGAAGATTCAAAAGGGAAAAAAATTTGAACTTGAACATGTTTGGTTGTTGTTAAAAGATGAACCAAAATGGCATTCAGCATTTATGGATGATTCTTCAAAAAGATGCAAGATTTCTACTTCAGGCGCATACTCATCGTCTTTTAACCCAGAGACACCGCATGAAGTTGAAGAATTTAACACAACATCACCAATATCTCGCCCCATAGGACAAAAGGCAGCTAAGAGAAAGAGCAAAGGAAAAGGCAATGCAAGTTCTACTCCCCATATTGATTTATCTGGCATAGAAAATGCAATAAAGGAAAAAAAATACAAAGTTTGATGAATTGATTGAGTTAAATAAGTCAGAAGAAATGCGTTTGGAGTATGAAATCCTCATGAAGGACATGGCTAACATGTCTGAGAAGCAACGTGAAGATCACAAAAAATATTGTAACTATATTAGACAAAAAAGAGGATTTTAAATATACTAGTCATTATGAAAATTAGCCGTTATGAATCTATATATAGTTTTGGAATGTCATGTAATGTCTCACAAATTACAATATTGTTCTCAATTTTCAAACACTTCAATTATCCATACAATGGAATTTGAAAACATTGATTTAGATGCATTATTGGATAAAGTCATAGATGGAGAACTCGAAGATAACCATGATGAAGAAATCATGAGGTTACTACTTGAGTACTGACAACAAGTTGACAACAATGGTGATGACATACAAAGAAGAAAAGTAGTTCATCGAAATCGTGAAGAAGGTCATCATTAATTGTTCAATGACTATTTTGCTAAAAATCCAGTATATACAGAATCTCAATTTCGAAGAAGGTTCCGTATGCGAAGGGAGGTTTTTGTCAAAATTGTGGAAGTCCTTGGCAATCACGATGATTACTTTACACTAAGGTTAGATGCAACACGAAGAAAAGGTTTATCTCCTTTGCAAAAGTACACTGCTGCTATTCGCATATTGGCTTATGGCTCACCTCCTGATAGTGTGGATGGATATATTTGCATTGGTGAAAGCACTGCAGTAGAATGCTTACAACGATTTGTATCACGCATTTGTGCAGTATTTGAAAATGAGTATTTAAGGAGACCTAACAATGAAGACATTGATCGATTACTACAAATGGGAGTCACACGTGGTTTTGCAGGTATGTTAGGATCAATTGATTGCATGCATTGTGAATGGAAAATTTGTCCAGTTGCATGAAAAGGTCAATTTTGTCGAGGTGATCATGTTAACCCGACAATCATTCTTGAAGTTGTAGCATCACAAGACTTATGGATTTGACATGCATTTTTTGGTACTGCAAGGTCAAATAATGATATTACTATGTTAAATGCAAATAATGTATTTAATGAAGTTATATCAGGTTTTGCACCTACGATACGCTACACTGTGAATGGAACTCAATATGATATAGGATATTACTTAGCAGATGAAATTTATCAAGATTTTGCCACATTTGTGAAAACTATTTCAATGCCACAAGGACAAAAGAGAAAAGTATTTGTTCAACGACAAGAGTCAGCAAGAAGGGATGTTGAATGTGCATTTGGAGTCCTTCAATCTCGATTTACAATTATATGTGGTCCGGCATGTTTTTAGGATGCTCATACATTGAAGAACATAATTTATGCATGTATCATATTATATGATATGATTGTTGAGGACGAATGACACACTTATCAAAATCATATTGATTATGATATTACGGAAAATGAGATGTCAACCAATGATATATCTTCAGGTCTTCATCCTAGTTTTAGATCTACATACTTTCAAAGGAGAGCAGCGATTCAAAATAGAAATACTCAACACCAACTTCAAACAGATTTGGTAGAACATATTTGGCAAAAGTTTGGAGGAGAAAATAATGAAATTTAATTTTATGTATTATATTTTTTAGTATTGTTTGATTTTTATTATATTTATTTAAATATTATGTATTTTTATATTATTTTTATATTGAAATATGGTATTATATTATTAATTAAAGTAATTAATTATTTAATGTATATATTTATTTTTATAAAATATATTAAAATAATATAAAAAAAGTATAAAATAATAAATTGTTAAGAACTGTTTGAAATTTTTACCATTAAAGTAAAATTAAATAAAAATTATTTAACCATGATGTGACAATATAGGACCCATGTTTCACTATTTTTTAGAGTCAAACATCTTTTTTAAAGCTTATGCATTGATGATGCTCTTATATGTCTTCGTTGTCTTAAGATATATTGTTTTTAGTGTGAAAAAATTGTGTTGAAATTCTTATATTAAATTATAATATATCAAATATATTTTCACAATCAATTTTATAAAATTACGATTAAATGAAAATCCACTTCTTAATCAAATAAATATTCATCGTGACTCTATTGGGATTATGTTCCAAGACATTCCATATTACAAATTCACACACAAATTTTGAATCGGTATGGTTGCAGAAAGCAACAATATATGATAAGAACTTTTAATCCACATTGGAACAATATATGATAAAAACGTTTAATCCATATTGGAAGTAAAATAGAATACCTTTTAGTTTTTAAAGTAAAAATTAAAATAACATTATATTAAACAATTTGTATTGATTCACTGTAAATACATTTTGTTTATGTCTACTTTCTATAATTTTTTCAATTTTTGACTCGTTCACCAATCTTCAAATCAATTGTGTAATAAACCAGTTTTCTTATATAGACGGATCGAATATAAAATTAACTCATCAATTTTTCAATTAAATTTACCTATCCAAGCTTTCAACAGAGTTTGAATCAATACGCAAACATAATTAAGCCAAATGTAACAAGTGAATATATCGAAACAGAGTTCGAGTTCCGCACACAATATATAAGGGACCACCAAAATTTATGTTTAGGTTTGCCTTCAACGCCACATGACAAATTCAAAATAAAACAACTTTTAAGTTTGCACTTCACAGCAGGAAGATACATAAGAACTTTTGATAATTTTTAAATATTTTACTGTAGTATATTCATACAGATAATTACTTGTGGTTCATAATTAATCTCTTTTATGAAAAAAAAAATGAACTAAGAAAAACAAGTCAAAAATAGTTGCTGGACGTATAGAAAAAATGCAAGCCAACAAGTCCACGACAAGTAATGTATTGATTGAACGAGGTACAACAGGGTACGGCTCCGAAAAAGCATAAGAACTTCCAAGTTGGTTCGTTCATTTGTGTGGGCTTTGGAGCTTCTTGTTAGGTTGTGATTAAAAAAAAAAAATTGTTATTCATTTACTACCTGCATATAACACTTATTTCTTTTTCATTCAATACGAGTTGTTTTATCATTCATCTGATCAAGATACTTTTCTCTAGTTGTATAATTCTTCTATTCCAATAACTGGTATCCAGAGCAAGGTTGGAGAATAGGACCTGGTGCGACTTCCTCTACTAATCTACCTATTCTAAACAGAAAGAATTGGCCAAGATGGCGTGTGCAGATGAAAGCCATCTTGGGCTATCAAGAGGTAGCAGAAATAGTTGAAGAAGGGTTTTCTGAGTTGGGCAAGAATCCAACGGAAGAACAGAAGAAGGTTCATGCATAGAATAAGAAGAAAGATTGTAAAGCAACCGTGTTGATTCAGTGTATCGATGAGGCACATTTTGAGAAGATTGCAGTGCTGCAACTTCCCGAGAAGTATGGCAGATTCTTGAGAAATACAATGAAGGTGCAGAAAAATTTATGAAGGTGAAATTACAAACCTTGCGTCGACAATATGAATTGATGCGAATGGAAAGCAACAAGATAACAGAATACTTCAATCGGATTATTACTCATACGAATGCTGTGAAGGTTTGTGGCAAGACGATGAAGGATAAATCAATTGTTGAAAAAATCTTGAGGACACTTCATACAAGATTCGACTACATTGTGGTCGCGATTGAAGAATCAAAGAATATTGAACATATGAAAGTTGAGGAACTCCAAGGCTGCTTAGAGGCGCATGAACAACGTCTCAATGAAAGAGAGTCT